GTTGGAGTCTCAGGAGCGGAGGCTCTCGAACTCATGGAGCTAGTGAGGCGACAAGATGGTCTCCGAAATGAGGGAGCCTCGGTGCAGCGCAGAAGCTCCAGTGTCGCCAGCAGGTGGCGCCCTCCGACGTGTGATCTGAAGAGCTTCCAAGGGCCCACCTGGCTGGAAACTTGCTACCTCGCCGTTCAGCCCTGGGCCGGCGAAACGTTGGTTCTGATGCCCACCATTCCTGCTGCTTTTAGGAACAACGTGGTTAGCGAGTCTGGCTGTCCCTTGCTAAGCAGAGCGTTCCTAGACGTAACTGAGCTCACCGGCGATGCCTGTTCCTGCGTTCAGGCATCAGTAGAGGTGCTGCTTTGATACTTGCGCGGTGCTTAGTCCATGCGCCAAATGGTGAGTCAGCCATGGGCAGGGGACAAGTTTCACTTGCGGCTCGTCAAGGTTAGATATTAACTGGCAAAGAGTGAACAAGATACATTTGGGTCAAAAGGAACGTGTGTGGTAACATCCATGTGCTGTGTTTGCCTTTAGACATACCAGAAGGTGGTTTTGCCAAGTCAAAACAATCAAGATTGGAAGAAGGTGGTGCTGCAAGGTCCCCTTCCTCGGTGACTGAAGAGACAGAGGTGGCAGGTAACATCATGCACTCAGCTGGCGGTTCAAGTAGGAGTGGGACAACTGGGTCAGCACGGAGTGTACCAACATGAATTATAAGGGAGTTACGGTTCTAAGATCACAATAGCTGCCGAATCCGAAAACCTGGGCATTTTGTCCTTTCACGGTCAAGTAAATTGTTGCACAAATTATAGAGAAAAGCAAGCACCGCCCCCTCCTAGCATTTTGATTTCTTTCTCTTAACTCTTTTTGGCAGTTTTTCAGGCCTGAGCATTCCTAAAGCTAGAGGTCTCTGCTTTAGTTGATAGTTACTAACTAAATTTTTATGTTAAAAATATATAATCTATACCAATTGAGAAGAATGATCTAGAATTGCAGTCTTGGGGAACTGTGGCCTGTTAGGAACTGGGCTGCATATCACAGCCTGAGCTCTACCTCTGAAAAATTGTCTTCCACGAAGCTTAGGAACGGGGCCGCACAGCAGGAGGTAAGTGGCAAGTGAGGGAAGTTTCATCTGTATTTACAGCTGTTCCCCATCCGGCATCACTGCCTGAGCTTGGGCTCCATGTCCGCCCCCACTACTTCCGTGGAAAAATTGTCCTCCATGAAGCACTGGTGCCAAAAAGGTTGGG